ATGCAATTACAGCATAAACCAATGCAAAAGAAATATTGTCTTGATCTTAATCTCAACAACTGCTGAAAGCATTTCAAGACAAAAAAAGCTTACTTTCTTAAATAACTCCATTTACCTATTTAATTCACACATTCTAAGTGTTTTACTAAATCAAACTTCTTAAATACATGTTACATTATCTTAGTACTCCAGTGGCCGAGATGGGACCTTCCAGCTCACCAATAGAGCATGGCTAGACACAGTGCAGATTGCGTACAAGCAGTACCTCAATGACTTCAAAAAATTTAAATAATATAATATATTTAAATAATATAATAATATAATAATAATATTGTCTGTAAGGAGAAAGCAGGAAGACTAATTAATTTCACCTTTCTTCTTTACTGTCTGTAATAGGAACAATGTATTATTCAGTATATGCCAAGCATCATCGAATTCTATTCTAATGCTGTATCCTCCGACATAAAAAGCAGCTTCAGTCCATAGGTGAAGACCCTTTTCTCCCTCAGGGGTCTCAGAAAGGCTGCAGCGTGCTGTGTCAGCCATCCAGGATAAAACTAGTCTCTAGGAGATGAAGGGCGCTAGTAACAGTGTCCAGGGTTTTCAAGCTGTAACACTAGCAATCATCTTTTATCTGGAGTCCTTTCCCTCCAAAGATGCTCCAGCATTCAAAGCAAATACAGTTGATCACCTCCTTCACCTTGCCTTCCCAGGACGATCTTGCTTGAAGGACCAGGGCATTCCTCCCTGCACAGCTCCACTAGACAATCTCCCAGCCCTCTTCCCTTGCCCAGGGCAATGCTAACGGGCTCCAAACTCGCCAGCACAGTGTCCCTCTCTAGCCATCATCCCATCAGCTGCTGCAAGGACAGTTGCCTGTCCACCAAGGACAGTGGTGTCCACCACTTCTTTATTTTCACTTCAAAGGGCAGCTGTGTTGACACACTATGGGGAGCTGTGGTCCTTTTTCTCCAGATCTGCCAAATCACTGTACACAGGGCACCTCCTCCACAACTGCCTGTGGACTCAGAACAGTTTGCAATTTGGTTATCTCAGTGCTACCAGCAGCTCACCTCTAACCACGGGCCACTGTTTTGCACTGAACACCGAATAGCCCTGCTGACATCAGCCCATTACTCCGTCAAAGACAGCTCCTGACTCTGGCCCTACTGAGATGGCAATTCCAGGGGCCACAGAGGCTGAGACTGGATCACCCCAGTTCTTACTCCCCTTCACAACTGACAAGTTTTCTACCTGTTAACACACAATTTATACATGCACTTGTAACACAAATTCCCATTAACAAAAAATACAACTCCATCCAGATTTCACACCACTGCAAATACTCTAGATGCAGGCCACACCAGGTCCAGCTGCATTCCCCACCAATTACTGTCACAGGCAAAGCTGCTTCAATTCAGGCAATTCTATTTAAATTACTGGCAATGATAAGGCAACTAATTATCAATGTAGGTATTGAGGAAAAAAAACCAAACAACCTAGCTTCCAGAGAAGTACCCTTTGTCCTCCTTCCCGAGGCTCTGCTTCAGTAAGAAACATTTTCCCCTCACCCTTCTATCTGAAGTGCTCATTGGAAAAGTTCCTTACACTCAGTCCCTCCTCCAGCCCTTCAGCAAGATGACACAGGAGGCAAGGGTCAGCACATCATGTTCTTTCTGCCATGTCTTACTTCTCACTCATTTTCATCCAGTGCTGGTTGTGTCTTAAATACAGGTTGCAATCCCTTTAGCAGAGTCTGTGTCCCGTGGCACAGTTTGTGTCATGGGCTGCAGTCTACTTAGGGGAAAGTCAACCACAGGGCTGCAGCCCCTCAGGGTGTCTCTACCCCAGCATGGGCTGTGCACAGGTTACAGTCCTTTCGGGAGTGCCTTACCTGCAAGGGCAGAGTGCACTCAGGAGTGTCCCTGCTCCAGTGTTGCCTCCACAGGAGCCAGCCCTTTTGAAGGGGTAGCTCCTGTGGCATCAACTGCCCAAAAGTGTACTCTTCTCTGGTCTTTCTTCTCACATCTTTTACCATATTTCATCCTTCTGCCTCCTGTTCATCCTCTTGCATGTCTTCCCCATTTGTGTCTCCTGCCCATTTCAGTTGCCACTTATGAGAAAAAGTTACGAGCAGTAGCACCACACATGCTCACTTGACAGGTTTTATTTTGGTCCTGCGTTTTGATAATCTTTAAAGCTGACAAAAATCAGCCATGTCCAAAGTAGTCTCTTCCTCCACTAAGCAGCCTTTCTGCTCCCCAGTACTGAAATCCTGCCATTTGTGTCCAAGAGAACCCATACAGGTAGTTTTCAAGAAAGAAAACATCCAAGTGAATATAAGAGCTATAAGATCTAAGGATAACTGCACTACAGTAGAAGAATATAAAACTATTAGAGCTCATTAGTAATTTCACATTTTTAAAAACTAACAAACAATCCCAAAATAAAATAAAGCAGCAGAAGCAAATCTTTAGTATCCATTAATTCGATTCTGAAAGTATGGACGGCATGGGTGAAGCAGATTGATAACTGGCTGAACAGCAGATCTCAGAGGTTCATAATCAGTAGCACAGGGTCCAGTTGGAGGTCTGTCACTAGTGGTGACCCCAAGGTTCAAGAGTGGGCCCAGGCGTGTTCAACTTATCCATCAGTGACTTGGATGAAGGTGCAGAGGCCTCCTCAGCAATTTCACCAACAGCACAAAGCTGGGAGGAGTGGCTGATAGCCCAGAGGGCTGTGCAGCCCTTCAGCAGGACCTCAACAGGCTGGAGAGATGGGCAGAGAGGAACCTTCTGAAATTCAGCAAAGGCAAATGCAGGGTCCTGCACCTGGGGAGGAACAACCCCAGGCACCAGCACAGGCTGGGGGTGACCTGCTGGAAAGCAGCTCTGTGGAGAAGGAGCTGGGGGTCCTGGTGGACAACAAGCCCTCCATGAGCCAGCAGTGTGCCCTGGTGGCCAAGAAGGCCAGTGACATCGTGGGCTGCATTAAGAGGAGCAGTGCCAGCAGGTCCCAGAAGGTGATCCTGCCCCTCTACTCAGCCCTGGGGAAACATCACCTGGAATGCTGTGTCCAGTTCTGGGCTCCTCAGTACAAGAGGGACAAAAGAGTGTCCAGCTATGAAGACAATTAAGGGACTAGCACATCTCCTATATGAGGAAAGGCTGAGAGAGTTGGGCCTATTCAATGTTTAAAATAGATGACTGAGGGGGGACCCCATCAATGTCCTGATCTGTATCTGAAGAGTATCTGAAGGGAGGATGCCAAGAGGATGGAGCCAGGCCCTTCTCAGTGGAGTCAAGCAACAGTACAAAAGGCAGAAACTGAAAGAAACAGGAAGAAACAGGAAGCTCCACCTGAATATGAGGAAAGACTTCCAGTGCAGGTGACTGAGCACTGGAACAGGTTGCCCAGAGAGACTGTGGAGTCTCCCTCACTGGAGATATTCAAGAACTGTCTGGACACAGTCCTGTGCCATGTGCTTTAGGATGAACAGGGATGGCTGGACAGGGGTGGTTGGACCAGATGATCCACAGTGGCCGTTTCCAACCTGTCCCATTCTGCAAGCTTTGCTTTCAGCAAGAGCTGAAGTTTATCACAGGTACCTATCAGATGCAGTAGAGCAGCAAGAAAGGAGAACAGATAAGCACAAGGAAAGTAAACAGAAATTCAGGTATTTTCTAATCCTAGTAGTGATGCAAGAGTGGCCTTTTACTTAAGAAAGCAAAACAACTATATACAAAGAGACGCATTCTTAATTCTTTCTTCCACATACCCACAGAAAATTCCTCTGCCAGGTTCTATCTGCTTTGTCAGTCACTAAAATGCAAACACTGCTCTCAAACTCTAAAGGCATTTTTACTTGGACTTATCCAAGAAGGATCTGACTCACTATATATACTTGTTTTACTAGTACTATCATTATTTCTCAATACAATAAAGAAGTGTGCTTATGGCTGGCTCAGTACTGTGCTCTTCTAGTTGTTCTGTCGTACAGCCGTTGCAGTCAAATATCATACATTTTTTTTAAGTCCTGTGCACCCTGGTCTCCCACTATCACCACACTTTACAGGTGTATACCAGCACACAACAAACACCAAGCCTTCCCTAGCAGCACTAAGGGCAACGGAGCAAAGATCACCGCACAGAGCAGGGGGCAGAAACCCAGAGGTCGGTTTTGACCCGCAGACCGACGGCAGGGACACAGCTGTGCCCTGAGCACGGCCAGCCCGACGCCCGGGTCTCTCGGCGGGGTCTGCGGGAGCTGCAGCGCGGGGAGGCAGGCGGGTGCCCGGGCTGACAGCCGGGGCAGGGAGCCGCCGGCCCGGGCGGAGGCGGCGCGGCGGACGGGGCCCGCTGCCCGAGCGCTCCGGGCGCGATGGCGGGTGGGTGACGGAACAACGCCGGCGCCATCCCCCCGCACCCCAGCGCTTACGTGTAGATGATGGACATGAAGTGCATGAGCCAGAGCACGACGAAGAGGATGAGCCCGAAGATGGCGAGTCCCTCCGAGGCCAGGGCCAGCACCGCCATCCCCGGGGGGCGCGGCGGCCCGAGCAGGAGCCGGCGGAGCGGAGCGGGGCGAGGCGGGGGCGCGGGCGGCCCGAGGGCGGCGGTTGCTGCGGGCGGGTTCTGGGCGGCTCCGGAGGCGCCGCTGCTGCTCCGTACCGGCCTGCGCGCGGCAGCCACTGCCGCACCGAGAGCCGCCGCCGCCGCCTTTCTGTCAGCGCAGGAGGCGGGGCGGGCGGGCACATCCGTTACCGGCCCGGCCCCCGCCCGCCGCCGCCGCCGCCGCCGCCGCCGCCGCCTGACCTTGGGTCCGTCCCCCTCGGGCCGCCGGTGAACGGTGTGCCCAGCTCCGGCCGCCGGGGACGGATGCGGGCGCGGCGGAGGCGCTGGCTCCGTGCCGTCCAACTTTGGTGTTGGCCGCTGAGGAGACCGCAGCCCCTTATCCATAGAGGCGGGGGGTCGGGGGCAGCCGGATATTGCCGGTGTTGCTGGGCATCTCTGAGGAGACGCTGCGGGAGCTCGACCTGTTCATTTTGGAAAAGAGAAGACTGAGAGGGGATCTCATTAATGCATATAAATATATCAAAAGCGGGTGCCAAGACCAAGGTGTCAGAGTCTTTTCGGCGAGGCCCAGCGACAGGACAGGGAACAGTGGCCATAAACTAAATCAGAAATTTCACCAAGAAGTTCCTCTCAGCATAGAAAGAGAAAGAGAAAGGTATTTCTTTAGACAGGTAGAGCACTGGAACAGGCTACACAAGAAGGTCATGGAGTCTCCTTGTCCCGAGATATTCCAAAATCCACCTGCACTTGTTCCTGGTTCACCTGTTCTAGGTGACCTTGCTTTGGCAAGCGGGTTGAACGGAATGATCTCTAGAAGTGTCTTCCAACACTAACTGCTCTTTATTCTGAGATGTAGTGCAAGGGGGCTGATGTAGGGCTGCATGGCCTTTGTTATTTTTCTTTATTGCTTTTGAGTCCGAACGCTTTCTTGGTGATGTTGAATGCTGCAGGACGGGATTGCTATTTCCAGCATAGGTGTGCACCTATGAGCTGCTGGCGGTGCTGAACTCTGTGAGTCAGAGCAGCTGCACCAAGGACCAAAGGGCAATTCCAACAGTCATACTGCCATCTGTGGAGCCGAAGTAGTGCTCAAGCAGCCTGATGACTATCAGCCTTGGCTACGTTTTAGTTAGTGCCCAGTTAATGAAAGTTTCAGTTGCTCATTACTAATCCTCTGATCCAGCTATTCTTACCTTTATTTCATTACAGTGTTTATGACAGTTCCTATTACTGTAATGTGGCTCCATTTTTCAGGGGGTTCATACGCAGAAATCTCCCAACACTTCTGCTCTCTTTTACAGTTCGGCTTTTTTGATCTGGGGTCAGAAACACCAATTTATCTCCTTTTTTTGCTTATTGTGTAATAGGCAAACATGCATTGCATTAACTGTTTTAAATTTAACTCCATTAATCTGGGGTATGCCGTGGGAGGATAAAATGACTTGACTGGCTGTGCCTGCATACTGAGCTTGCCAGAATAAGCACAGCCTTACATAAGAAACTATGTTTACCTGTACACGAGAAGGTATACTTTTTCTCAGGAGTCTTGACCAATAACACAAGCTGAACATTGCAGTGTATGCATGTTCTGTAATAGTTTTTTTCCTCCATAGCTCTGTCTTGTTAATATAGGTAAAGGTGTGTTCATACATTCTGCTAAGAACTCAGTTGTGGTTTTGAAAAGTATTCTAGTCACCACAACAACTGTAGAAAGAACTGGATTTCAAGTTAGCTCTAGTTGTATGTGAGAAGTTAGGATATAGCAATTTAAAGGCAACTCACTGTCCAAAAAGATGGGATCTCACCTGGTGACGAATTGACCATATTAAAAGTATAATTTAAAACTAAAAGTGAAAAGCTATTAATTGCTGGTAAGGACAGGGGAGGTATCCGTCCATTCTAATGCGAACACTGCTCGTGTAATCTGTTAGTTCCTGTTAATGTTACTTTCCACATAAATAAATCATGGGGCCACCACCATGCTTGTTCACTGGCTTCAGTGATTTCTTATTATAACTTCCTTAAAAATAATTTTTCAAGTAAAATTAATTACCTTAATTTTCAAATTCCCCTATTGTGTTTGTATGTCATTTGTAACTGAAAGTGGCAGGGTTTTTCTATTTGTTCCTACATTTAGAGTCTAATGATCACATTTATATTGATTTAAGATTGCCTCAATGAGCTTTATAGACATTTTTTTGCCATGATTTGAACTGCCATGCTAAATATTGGCACAGTAACAAGACTAGTTGAGTCAGAGAATTCAGAGCTGATACGTATGAATTGGTGGAATATAGCTCATATAACCCTTGCCTGGTTGGCTGGCATCTTTTTTCTAAGGCAGAAACAGCCTATGTAAAAGAGTATCTGGGCTTAAAATATGACAGTACGCGGAAATGAGGAAGATTGAGGGCCTGTATCTCCAGTAATCAGTGAAGCAATTAATCACAGTTTATTAAACTGAAGCAGTAAATCTTATTTTTTGTCCTAGAAGGTGTTTGCCTGGGAGATTAGGTTGAGAGGCTGCTTATTGTGCAACAGGTAGGGTTAATGGCTCCATGCAAACAAACTTTACTCAGACTTCTTTATAACTAAAGTGAATAGAGATACTGACTCCTATACTTCAGCCAGCCATACTCATGAATGAGCAGTCCTCAAGCAATGTTCCACGGGAAAACACCAAGCTAGTATAAATGACTTTATCTAGAAAAGGATCCGCCTTTCTGCCATCCCCTCTGGGATGTCATTCCAGCCTGTGGTTGTAAGGGGAGAAAGAACTCTCTCATTAGGTGTTTAAGGTAAAAAGCTGCAGCACTCAATGTTCAAGTCAATGCATGGTTTAAAACCAGTATCTTTAATATACTTTCAGGACTGCAATGGAGGAAAATCAGGTGTGGTAAAGCCTTCAACCTGAGCATCTTCTACAGTAAAATCTGCTGCCATATGGATTCTTTCAGCAGGTATATTAAGATTAGTGGGGGAGAAAAGAGTAAAGGTTGCCTGAAGCCTGAGGCTGCCTGGTGTTGTGACAGTTCAGTAGTAGGGGACATACCCTTGGTCTCCTCTCTGTAAGTATGGAGTGCAACAATTCACAGAGAGCAGTGCTCTTCAAGCAGGGCAAATCTGCCTCTCAAAGGTGCCTCATTATGCCTTGGGGCATGATACACCCTGGTGTTTTAATCAAGTGCTTGGGACTTAATGCAAATGTGTACTATGTTTAAATTAAAAACAAAATTAGCCTTCACATGTGCAATAAAGCTGCAGTTCTTGGTTCTGTCATCATTTTGCCAAAATATTTATTAATTACAACAGTGTTTGACAGTGTTGCAGACTGAAAAAGATTAATTTAATAGAAATCTCTCTCGTAATGGTCCTACATGGCCTAGGTATGAGACTTGTTCCAACAACAAAAGTGATGCAATAGAAACGCTCATGTAATTTTGAGCTGATAAAAAAGGATAAATATAATTAGTCAACAAAGGAACAATAGTGGATTAGCCTATAGTGATAGTGGTATTAATGCTGAGAAGGCTGTGGAAACCAAAACCACTAGAGTTTCTCTTACTGGTGTACCTATGAAAGGTTTTAACCCTATACAGACCTCCCAGTTTTCTTCTCAACCATCAGTTTCTGTTGAAAACCATTGCTTACATAAGCTTTGGAGATAGAAATTTGATCTAAGTCTACATCCTCAAATAGCAAGACAACTTGTCACCTGGACTACAGTTAAAATTGTATTTAAAATCCACTGAAATGCTATTTAAGAATTTGTATTAGTGTTTCCAAGTATATATTCTCCAGTCCACTTTGCTATTCCTGTTTCTGTTTAGAATGGCATCACTGAGCTTCTGAGCAAATAGAAGGCAAGGATAAATTTGCTTTTTCTTGCTTATGTGTCATTTTCCATATGAAAACATACATATAAGGGGACAGACTGCGAAAGTTTTCTCTTTGCTTAATTATTAGATCCATTAATGCATCTGCACTCTGAAACTGCTAATACCTTATTATAAAGGGAATATGCATTGGTAAGGATTCTGTGTCTTTGAAACTTGGTTTTAGTAATTTAAACTCTGAGATGTCTGTCTTCTTTTATTAAAAATCCACTTTTGTTCCCTTTTTCTAATCAAAGAAATGTGTGTATTACAGCTCTGCATGTTTGTTATTATATAAATATTCTGCCTTGCAGAATATTTATATCTTCTTCATATCTTTCTTTATATCTTTTAAATCTTCCTCAATTTAAATGCTTAGATTATGAAAAAAGTATCCAGTTATTAGTTGGATTTGATACAGAAATCTATGCAATTGCTCCCTGCTTCTTAGCATCCATGCATAAGTAAGTTCAGAAATTCATTTAAATCCTAGAAGACTTGTAGATATAAAAGCCTGTCTAGTAGGGGCAAGAGAGGGAGACCAAAAAGGAGACAGTTCTGCAAGTATCCTCTTTATTTGGCAGTAATAAGCTAAGTGATCTGCATCTGTGAAGTAGCTTGTGAGGTTTAACAAATGTAGTTCTGGGCTAGCCATAACAGTCTTGTCTGGTACTGTGTCTCAAAAAATTGAACATCAGAAAAATTAGAGACCAGAGCTCTTATGCCTAAGGGCTGAAAAAGTTAAAGCTACAGGTTGCAGCGAAACCTCAAAGTACAAATCTGAAACTAATAAAGCCTCAGTACTTTTGATCTTCAGAAACAATTTTGTAATAGAACATGAAAGCAGTTTTTAAAAAAAAGCTCAAACAATAATGTTTCAGGTACATGTATTTTTCTTGACAAATTGATCCAGGCTCATTAACCTGTAAGGCTCCCAAATATTGCTGTTGGAAATAAGTATGCATATGCACTCAGCATTGAATTGTGGAATACTTGGACAATAATTACATTTAGAAAACCGTCATTTAGAAATTATTTCGCAAGTCACAGAATAGTTGAGTTTGGAATAGACCTCTGGAGTTAATTTATTCCAATTTAACTGCTTGAGCAGGGTCATTGAGAGTTGCTGAGTTTGGAGTTGGTCTCCATCTTCATTATTCCACCCAACCAGGTATTTGTGCACATTGGTAACATTTCCCCATGACTTCTGCAGACTGAACAATTCCATCTCTTTTTTCACTCCTCGTATGTCAGATGCTCCAGTATCTGTCATTCTCGTGACCCTCAGCTGGTCTATTTCCATGCTACTACATGTAGTAGCAATGCACATAACAATGAAAGCCAGGCTGATGTTGGCCTTTGCTAAAGGGTGCATTGCTCCTTATGGTCAGCTGTGTCCACCAGCACCCCTAGGTCCTTCTCTGCAAAGCTGCCTTCCAGACAGCTTGCCCTCAGTGTGTACTGCTGCCTTGGGTTGTTCCTCCCCAGATGCAGGACTTGGAATGTTCTTCCTTGAATTCCATGTAGTTCTTATCAGCCCATTCCTCCAGACTATCAAAATTCCTCTGAATTTCAATCCACTTATATATATTATCAGCCACACCTCCCAGCTTTGTTTCATTTGCAAACTTTCTGAGGGTTCAAACAGCACTGGCTCCACTGTTGACACTTGATGCGTTCCAATAGTGACTGGCCTCCAGCTGGAGTTCTTGCCACTGATCACAAGGTTTGGAGCCTGGCTGCCTAAGCCAGCTTTCAGTTTACTTCACCACACCCTTATCTGGTTTATTCCTTGTCATTCTGTCTATGAAGATATTGTGGGAGACAGTGGTAAAAGCCTTCCTGAAGCTCAGATTCACAACTTCCAGTTACCACCCCTTACTCACTTTCATCTGGTCATAGAAAGCTACATAGAAGGTTGGTTCCCACTGCATAAATCCAGGCCAACTACTCCCAATCACTTAATTGTTCTCTCTTTGTTTAGAAGTGGTTTCCAGAATAGTTGATCCATCACCTTTCCAGGGACTGAGCTGAGGTGAGGTTAACCAGCATGTAGTTTTATGGCTGTTACTTGTGGCCTTGCTGGAAAACAGGAGGGACTTTTGCTTTCTCCTTGTCCTCAGGAACCTCCAATATTCTGCTGATGTGTCAAAGACAATCAGAAGAGGCCCACTGCTTCAGCACTCGTGTGTATCTGACAGGTGGAATAGTCTCCTATGTGTCCAGTACCATTCAGTGTTCCCTAACCTAATGCTCCTCCACTGAAGGTAGGCACTGACTAATTCACTCTTACCCATGTCCTTTGTCACCAGGTACCTTCCTGCTTAAGCACTGGTCCTACATGTTCTATCATCTTTCTTTTGCTACAGGGTACTTCACTGTCCTTCACATTCTTCATCAGATTCAACTCCAGATGGACACTCATTCATACAGGCCTTTTCAACTTTTTTCCTTTGTAAGCCCTGGATATCTTCCATTTCTTTACTGCTCCTTCCTGACTTTCCTTCAAAGTTCTTATTCTTCACTTCAGCAGCCACATTTTGTAAGAGTTTGTTCTCCAAGGCCCACCTCCAAATGTTTGCTCTGGCTTGTCCTCTGTTACGTACTCCAAAGTTTCTGCTTTTAATTTGCAATTATTAATGAGCAACAACAATGGGGCTTTGTTATAAGTAAGTGTTAACAGGTAATCTTTCAATTTTTATCTGTTCCCTTTTTATTCCTTTACCTCCTCTTGTCTCCATTTTTATTTTGAAATTTTCAGAACAAGGATTATCCCTCTGAGATGGAACGACATTACTTTTCAATATACAGACTGTCACAAAATTGTCATATCTACACACCAGTATATTTTTATTTTTTAAAAAATGTCCTATAAACAAATCATATGCTCCTTATAGGGCATATCATGCTACCCTTACCTCCTGGAAAACAAAATCATCTGGCCACAGTATTTTGGTTATTGTGGAGCCACAGGCCAAGAAGAACAGCCAGGAATCTCTCCCTGTGTGATGGTAAGAGAAAAGAGGGTGGTGATCAAGAGTGAGAGCATCTGATTGAAAAAGTGTGGTAGTTGTGATATTTTTCATATCTGAAGTACAAAAGGAAACAGTAAATCTATCTACATCTATATATATTTCACAGAATCAGTTAGGTTGGAAAAGACCTTTGAGGTCATCAAGTCCAACCTCTGACCTAACATCACCTTGTCAACTAGAACATGGCACTGAGTGCCAGGTCCAGGGTTTCCTTAAACACCTGCAGGAACAGTGACTCCACCAGCTCCCTGGGCATCCCATTCCAATGCCCAACCACTATTTCTGAGAAGAACTTGATCCTAATGTCCGACCTAAACCTCCTCCTAAACCTAAAACAGCTTAGGAGACTCTGTCCTCTCATCCTGTCACTGGCTGCCTGGAAGAAGAGACCAACCCTGACCTGGCTACTCCCTCCTTTCAGGCAGTTGCAGAGAGTGATAAGGTCACCCCTGAGCCTCCTTTTCTCCAGGCTAAACATCCCTAGTCCCTCAAGATTTGTGTTCCAGACCTTGTTTCCCTTCTAAAGATATATATATATATACTAAATATATCTATCTATATATATTTAGAATATATATATATTCTAAATATATCTATATATCTATATCTAAATATATCTATATATCTATATATATATGGATAGATAGATATAAATAGAATACAGGCTCAGAGTTGTTTGGGGATTTTTTAAAGCTCTAAGTCCTCTCACTTTTGGGGCTAGCTTTGCTTCAAAAATAATATCTGTTGTGGTATTTTAAAAGTCATATCTCTAAGGAATACTAAGCAAACAGGTTCCTTGTAAGAAGAAAATCTGTTGCAAGTATTGCTACCAAAAAATCAATAAAATAAAGCTCCTTAATGCCAATATAGCATTAAGAAGCAAGCATTCTTTATTATGCCACTGGATGCACACGGGATATCTCTACCAGCTGAGCTGAGTATAAAAAAACTCTTGCTTTTATACTGAATTTTACATAATATTAATTGATATTCCTTGAATAAACATGCATATGATCATTATTTCCCTGAAGTTATTATTAGTAAATGTTCCCTCCCCTTTGCACATATGTTCATATGTCCCGGGGTTTCCTCTGGTGGTTGTAAACCCCAGAGTTATAGCTGACTTCTGGATAAACTGGTGTTACTTCCCAAACATGGAAGTAACTTCATTATTTTGTACTTCTTCTTGGTTAGCATTTAACATGAGCCTACAGAATAAGTATTGTGTGGTTCTACTGGCCACTGATTTTGCAGCATAAGTATTTTGTTTTCCCACCAGCTGAGCAAATAATTCTTCACCTGATAACAGTATGTACATGGAATTTCACATGCTGATCAGAATATGTATCAAAATATAATTGTTTTGAACCACAAACATGTTAGAGAAATATTGAGTACAAGCATAGAGAGGGAAGAAGGCAATTTGCATTTACGTTTTTGTCTGTTTAGGTAATGTTTTAAATTTACATTTTTCATTAATAGTTTTGAGAAAAAAGTTGGATTTTTTCCACAAGTATCTAAAAAAATACTGTTAATTGTCCAACTGGATACACACCATGCATGGATTTTTTGCTCTGACTATAATTTATTGTTTTATTCATGGAACTCAATTGGCCATGGATATATGGCCTCATAATGGCCAATATCTTCTATGAATATTTCAGTTTTATAAAGATAAGGAAAAAATCAAGCAAAATTGCAAATTGATTAGATAGCTACATATTTAATGATCTTCAGAAAGTAAGCATTCATTCTACAGGAGCATTGCTGAGTTTTCATCAGTGCAAACCTTCTTGGAAAGTAGAACTGTTGAGTGCAAGTTAAAGAAACATGTAATCAAGTTTCCTTTTCTGCCTGCCAGGCCCAAGAAGACACTCAAGGTTCTTTGCATCTCTCAACCCTTTTTACGGCCAAATTGTTGGATTCTTGTTAACCCAAGCAAGGATAGCCAAGAACACATTCCCAAGTCTTAGTGGATTCAGTGAAGGGCAGGTTGTTTGGGCACTCAGGAACCAAAGACACATCAAGGGCTTAAAATGGGGGAAAGAATTTGGTCAGGGAGCAACAGAACAGAAATTGCAGTCAGAGAGCCCCCTTGGGGAATCAAAAACATGAGTGTGTTTAAGCCAAGAGTAAAAGCCAAAAAGGGTGAAATCCAGGGAACAGAACCCAGCCACAGAAGTGAGCTAAATAGTGATGTTTCATGACTGAATGGGATACTAGAT